ACCAACAACGATAATAAATACTATAGATTACATATATATTTCATACAAATGTAAGCATGTTAAGCATATTCTATCTTAAGTACGGGTTGAAATGCAGTTTTTTTTTAAATAAGAACAGTTAGAACTAGAAATTCTCTTTCTCGAAATACTCTGTCAACTGTTGAAACACCAACTAAACCATCTTCTGGAATTCAGGATATTTCAAACAGATAACGTAAACAGTTATACCATGTCAGAGTGTTTTACATAGATGTATATAAGGCACATTTAAATCATTCAGGTTATCCTTTTGGTGCAAGTCGTTAGGGGGACAATCTTCAAATATATATATAGCCGGTTGTTAAAAGACAGTGAATTCCTTAATTAGGGTTCAAGGCTATTTTTCGTTTCGATGTGGAAGAAATAGCCTAGTTGTGGTTAGAGTGCTCCATCTATGCTCTGAGTGACGGCCAAGTCTCACCATTCGGGGGGGGGGGGGGCAGGAGTAGCCAGCACTACAGTGTGTGCGTGTGGGGGTATTTTTTTTTAAAGAGTGGACCCTTTTTTCTACACAAAGAATTAACCCCTATTTTTGTGATGTAAAATATTTATGTCTATATAGTTATAGCACAGCTGCTTATGGTATTTAATGTTTTCTACATAGTCTAAGTTCTTCTAGTGAAGCATTAGCATTTATTGGCTTGAAATAGTCACATATAATGGCTTCTGTTGACACTTTGTAATTAGAAGTCCGAAGCCGTACTGCTAATGTCAGATTCTATAGGCCGGATACTTTACAGTAGGTGTCTGTGACTTTTTCGCGATAAATTTCAACACTAAACAAACAGTATCACAGTCCACTTGTTTTAAAATAATATATTAAAACAAGCCAAACGTATATACAAATGTTTTCTACACTGTTATTATTACAATTGTATCCAGAGCTTTAAATAATTGTCTCTTTTTCGTCAAAGTTCACACAGGCTGGTTCAATTACTTTAGAACACAATTGACAAAGCGAATTATTTTTCTCTTCTCTGTTGTTATCTAAAAATACTGGAATTCATTTTCTGTTCAATAGTTTTATAACTTTCCCTTTACTATTTTAAAGCTTCAGTAAATTTGCAAATAGGCCCGGCATGGCCAGGTGGTTAGGGCACTCGACTCGTAATCTGAGGGTCGCGGGTTCGAATCCCCGTCACGCCAAACATGCTCGCCCTTTCAGCCGTGGGGGCGTTATAATGTGACGGTCAATCCCACTATTCGTTGGGAAAAGAGTAGCCCAAGAATTGGCGGTGGGTGATGATGACTAGCTGCCTTCCCTCTAGTCTTACACTGCTAAATTAGGGACGGCTAGCGCAGATAGCCCTCGTGTAGCTTTGCGCGAAATTCAAAAACAAACAAACAAACAAATTTGCAAATTTCAAGCCAAGACATTGTTTCTCTAATACAACAATGCTGTAAAGAACTGACTTTACTAAGAGTGAACGTAGATGATTATTCACATCGTATCTTCAAGCAGTAATATTTTAAACAAATCTAATATTATTGCTAGTATGTCACGAATTAGTCAACGATAAGCCCAGCGTGCAAATGCAGAATATACAGTAGTTCCATGGAGGATTACTTTACGAAAACAGTAACTATTCCCTTTCTTGACCGCATTATCAGCAATCTTTCCTCTAGATTTGATGTACATCGATAGCAGACAAGATGGTTTTATACCTCTCCAGGGCAGGCCCCAGATACTGAGTAATTGTTTAAAAGCATGCTTCAGTGCATCAAATATCGTTATTTTTATCATGATATAAAATACTGTTGGGTTTAGATATTTTTATGATTAATTTATTTTTGTAAGTGAATATTTTATCAATGTTTAGTTTTTGTTATGATAAGAGTTAAAAGCAAACGATTGTAGGAAGTTGTGTTTATAATTCATTGATGTTAAAACTATCGAATGTCGCGCGCAATATATAGAGAATATATAGATTTGTATAGGGCTGACAGCCGATTAAATGATAAAGATATAAATAGTGTGAGATGAGCAGAAACAGCATACAGACAATAGTAGAAGAGAGTAAAGTTACGGGCAAGGAAACAATTCGGCGTAAAAATATCTATCGTAGAATTGATAGGCCTAACGTTTAATATGTTAGAGTAAGACTAACAGCAGAAAAGGAGATAAGAATAATAATTTATTTCATCAAAGCGTGGTTCTAAAGTAATTGAACCAGCCTGTGTGCACTTTGATAAGTGAATCACACACAGAATACCAGTGCGATAGTAATAGAGAAGTTCGGCTTGTGAACTGAAATTCTAAAGTAATTGAATATGCTTAAGTGGACTTTTGGCAAGAAGAAGAGAACTATATATATATATATATATATAGTT